TTTTTTTTTTTTTTTTTTTTTTTACAAATGACGCAAGGTGGGAGCGCCGTAAGAACCACGAAGAGGACTCGCTCTTTGCTAGAAATACGTTTGGAAAATTAGAAGAGACGAGGTTAATATCCCTCCTTCAGCTTTTGTACCCTTCGTTCTAAATTTTGGTTTCCCAGCTTCCCCTTTTAGCATATTTTTTCCCTTGTTTCTTTTTTCAACTCGTTTTCACAGTGAACGATGAATTTCGTTAAATCAGGTTTATAAATTGAAAGCGCACAAAGAAGCTAAGAAATCGTTGATGACTTGTGAATTGCGCGCGTTATTTCTCACACTGAAGTGAATATGAATTACACATATGGGAGTTTATTATACCTCGATTGAATACACACGCGAAATGTCTGTTCACGTATCAATTAAATGTGAACACTTGCGTGCCAGTTCTTATTTATCTCAGCTACCTGTTCGCATTGTGAATTATTGATACTGAATTGTTGTTAAGATTGCAAAATTTGCGAGTTATTCGTAATTGTTATCGAGATTGTGAATAATTATCGAATTATGACGTGGTTATTATAATAATTTTTTGGGAAAATCTTCTCCTCTCTCCGATTATTGCGAAATTTTGCAGCAAAAAAATTTTCATTCACTGGAACGAATACTTTTTCACTGGTCATTTTTCAAGAGCAACAGCTGAGCACGTGAAAATTAAGAACCTTGTTTATACTTACAACTGGCACTGATCGTCCTTACGAGCGATCAACGTTTATCGTGTCTATAGGACGAAAGTTTCCCTGTATTTGGAATTGTCTCCGTTCAACGAGCATAGAGATATCACGAGAGGATAGCTCGTAACAAATGGAATATTGCCAGAGGTCTGCCACTAATTAATTAGAAATCGTCCGAACGCTTGTGATGAATAGGTTGCGTAACAGGGCCATTAGAGCCTCGGTTTTCGAGCGGAGTTCCCGGCGGCGCGTAATTAGCTTGTTCGCCAAAGGCAAAATAATTTACCAAACCCGACCGATTCTTAATTATAACTCACGGGCGTTCGCCACGCGTAGGACTAAAGTTTAAAGGGATTTAAGTTTCGTCGATGGCGGGATAAGTTTCCCTCGCGGGCTAATGGATGCGACACGTATATAGAATTAGCATGTTAACAACCGCTAACGAGCCGGCAAATTGTTTTTCCCGAATATTCCCTGTCCCCGTAAGCTGCTTGGCTATATTATAATCCGTACTAATTTCCGCGTTGTATTCGCTTTAAGTCACGGGATCGGAAACACTCCCCGAGCACGTGAACTCCGGTAATCTGTGTACAGTCGGACTTGGGAACACCTGTTCTGTTTCACTGCCGACGCTAATTAGTCAATTAGCCATTCTACGAGTATTGCGGATTCGATGGCTGATAGGATGCTGTCTCGCAAGGATCGACGAATTTCCTTGAAAAAAACGAACACTAGCAAATACGGAAACACTTGTTTCCTCGAGGATTCTGAATTTGAGTAAATCGTTAGCTGAGAAATACTTTACATTTTTTGCAACAAACATCGGTAATAAAAATTGAAATAAAAGTCAAATTTGACACTTTTTCTTTATAATAAATATTGGTAACAAAAGTCAAACTAAAATGAGTTCTGAACCCGAGTAAATTGAGAGATACATTTTTTATAATGAACATTGGTAATAAAAGTTCGAAGTAGAAGTGAAATTGAAAATTTTCAATCAAAGTCAATTATTCTAGTTCCTATTGATTTAACAATGCTAATTAAACGTTAATTATGTTTCGATCAGTGTTGGAAATATTTATATCGAACTGTTTGGTTTTGAAATGTACATAAAATTTTAGTAAATAAATGCCCTGATGATTTTATCGAAAGAAATTTCAATTAGGTTTAATTAGGTAATACGTAGAACATAAGGAAAAAATAAAAAAAATAATCGGTGATTTAATACTTGTTAGTGTTAAATTATGACAATAATTATTTTCTTCTCTCCGGTTTCCTTTTTGCGATAAAAAATCGGACCTTGAAATCACTAGTTTTAGTAATCCATAACAGATTATTGTACAAGTATGTTGATTCTCGAGTAATATCCATCGCTTGAAATTTGCATTCTCTCTAACAATAAGTGTTTTTGCTTCCCTGGAAGGTGGATTACTTTTGGGATTTTTAACCAATCATCAATCGTGCCGCTTGTCGACGTCACCCTTTCCCAGCGACCTTCACACGTACACGTTTCTCTCTTGCAAGGGACGCGACGATATCCTCCCTTGTGGTTGGCGCGAGGGAATTAGGCAGCGGAAGGGATTTCCACCACAGTTGGCTTTGATTTCGATTGCTTTGGATTTCGTCTGGTATTCTATTGTCGGGATTTTCCTTCTGTACAAAAACGACCTGGGTTTTAGACAACAATGCACTCTAATTGTCGAAAGCTGAACTCAATATGAGTAAAAATATGGTAGTAAATCGACGACTTATCTGTTTAGATTCTATAAATTTCTTTTCACTTGGTTTAGAATTTTATGATTTAATCTGAATGCAGCTTCGAACTCAACTCCACTTTTAACTCCACGTTCATTCAATATTTTTTAACGATAACAAATATCTTTTATTTCAAAAGAAATTTCGACATCACGTTTCAAATCTTTTTTTTTAAACTTCCTTCTTGTTTTGTAAGACGAGTATGAGATTGAAGTATAAAAATTAAAAACTTGATCAACTTTTAACTCTTCTACGCTTTTCCGATTATTTATTATCCAATGGCATTTTCAATACTTTTTAGCGACAATAAATATCTTCTCTTCGAACAAAAGAAATCTTGACATCTCGTTTAAAATTTTGCTAAAAATTTCTTTTGTTTGCTTTGTAAGACGAGATTTTTATTAAATTTTATTAAATAAAAAAAGCTCGTAACAGCGTTAATAAAGTCACCAATTATCAATGTGTGGAAAAAGAAATCTGAAACTTAATGGCTTTAGTGATTTTCATTGTTTTAAATTCTTATTGCTATTCTCTGAAGCTTGATTGCACCAGTAATGGTAACTGCTCCATGGTTGTGACTGTTCTATGTATTAGGAGCCTGATTGCTATCAAACGGATTTGTCTGGTTCGGAGCTTGTATTATTCTGTTGAGAGAATCTGAAATTAATGCTGCATCTCAAAAGACCGTATTTTCTCCTTGAAAAACAACAGTGGGAATTGTTGATTTTCGAGGGGCACTCTGGCAGAATTACAATTTGTAGCGATGAAGAACTTGAACTCTTTGGTAATAAAGAATCTTAAAAAAATTATTCGAATGTTCTTGAAAATGACTTAAAATTCGTGGAAGCTCGATAATTGCAAATTAATCGATTCTCACAAGGAGTGAAATTAAATAATTAATTTTAACAATATAAGTATAACCTTGTGTTTCCATTTTTCATCCAGTTTCGTATTAAAAAACATGGAATGTCCACCAGTCATCTCTGGAAATGATTTCTTTCACTCTGATGAATTTTATTTCTCATGCAAGTGTACACAATTATTGCGCATCTTCGTGCGAAATTATATTTTTACGAACTAAAGAAGTACAACTTTGAACATTTTCTATATTTTTCGTGCCCCTTTACTCTTCTAAGTTTCTCATAAATTGGAAAAGATTCATCGGTCTAATAATTAACGTATCACGCCTGTGAGATAAGTATACCTGCATGTACGCGTGGAATAGTCTTTATTTCGTCGCGATTCCTTTCTTTGAACAGATTACTAACAGCTTGCGACTGATTTATGTTCCAGCTGCATGGGCGGTGACTTTTTAAAGGTGTTTCTACATTTAGAAACCAGCGGTGTTTCCGAATACACCCCCTGGTCCGGCGTGCTCTGCGGTGATATACACGACATCCCGCAGGTTCTCTACAGTTCAAGATCTACGCTTATTTTAGAGCTTCACACACAGGGAACTTCGTCTAATGCGACCGGCTTTTTTGGCAATTTCCACTTCATCAACAGACGTGAGTTACTCAACTTATTCGCATGATTTTAGTAGCTAATCCCCTCCTGTAACTACTTGCTTCTTTGAATTCCCAGTATATGTAATACTTTAACACTAGAACTACCGAGAATTAAAGCGTAAAATTTCCATCGGTCACGTTGTAATACAAAGAAGAAAAAAAGATGGAGAAACTTTACAATATTCAAGTTTTTATTTATACATTTTTTCAAAAATCGTTTGTATCTATAAAGTTTGCGACAAAAATTATAAATTGGTCGTTTTGCTAGTTCTAGTGTTAAGAATTGTAACAATTTAGAGAACAAACAGGGAAGCATTTATTGTTGCCTTTCGTAATTTATGACGTTGAAATATGAATCATTAAGAGTGAAAAATTGATACAGTAAAAGATACTTTTTTATTAGAATATTTTATTAACTTAATTAACTATCATTGCAAAAAATTGTTCACTAGTAATTGAAAAATCATTTGTCACTAGTAAACAACTCGGTCAAGTTTTAATATTCGCCTTAACATTTGTATATCAAGATATTCGAAAAAAATGAAAGTTCCACTGTAATTTACACCTTTTAAAAACTTCATTCACGTGAGTGCAAATTTCTTGTTAAATCGTGTAATATTTAATAATATTATAACGCTTCGTGCTTAAAATGGACTCTTTTACAATGGCGCTTGGAAAAGATTGAAAAAGACGATACCTTGAAGGAAAAAAGAGATCCTACACGTGCTCTATCTTGGATCTTTAGTTTGAATTGTTGCGTAAACTGCTTGGCAATCTCCACTTTAATAATGAAGATATTCGCTTTTAGGTCAGTAAATCAATAAAAAAATTTACACTGACGTGCATAAATAATTGAACACCTAGTGTTCACTCCATTATCTGGTAGTTTTATTGCGTCCCGACAATTACGGTTGACAAATGTTCTTCTGCTATTAATTTTCTACATTTTCAAATTTTTTATTCAATTCTAACGGACAACTGATTTTATAAACTTTTTCGGTATGATTAGGAAGCAAACATTTCAATCGTTTCTAGCTAATCCTTTTATGAATATCTATTAATCTGTATAGGTTAAGATTAAATTAAGGAGATTCATTGAAATCTAATATAATAATTTACAAGTGCTTGAATATTTGTGCACGACAGGTGCATTTCGGTTAAGCATCATAAATCAATCGGAGACAGAAAATTAGTTTGCAACGATGACAAGAATTTGACAAAAAAGACTCGATCAGTAAAGGGGGAAGTTAATATGTGTTTCGATACATGTATGCTTACTCAAAGCTATTAATTACGCCACTTAGCACATTGGTAATTGAAGCGGAAGATATTCAGCATTAGGACGAAAGATCTATATGTACGAACCGCTTAAGCGCGAATTTACGGGAATTTGGGATTCCCTGAGAATCCCTTTAACGACAAGTTTCCACTCCTAGAATTTAAATACCACAAATCTAAGTAGAATCAAGTATCAAGAAATTAGGTGCCCAGGAATGTGGAAAGACTTTTCGCTCACAAAAAGCTTTCGTCAATTTATAAACGAAACGAAAATTAGCAAAGCAAATCGGTAAGTGATCGAAACGTGAGTCAGAATCAGATCAAGTGGTGCAAAATAAATGTGTGCGTAAATAATAGGTAAAACTTACAAGAATAGTCTTCGTCGAAATGTGTTTTAATTTTTTTCAAGATCTCACTCATTGTCGTCGAAGTTTTTCTCCGCATTGAGACCGATATTTCCCACAATACGCGGAAATAACACACGAAACAACGAAAGGAGCGAAAGTAAAATATAATATTTTATTTGTACAAAATTGTAGAAAAAAATATTCGTACTCTCGACAAATTTCTCAGTGCACAATGTTAGAAGAGGACATTTCGTAACATGGCGCAATGCAATTTTTTCCTTCAGATACACAGTAAACGTAAAGTGAGGCAAAGCGAATGAACGTGAAGTCGATTGCAAATGAAACGCAATAAACGCTACCGTGTCCCGGTGTCGATCGTTAAAATCGACGGACTGTCTGTGAATCGGAAACGCCTGTGACTCTTGCGAGACGTGTCTCCGTGGAGCGGAGGAACAAACCGAAGTTAAGACTACCGGACTTTTTAACGAAAGATCCGACTAGTTGCTCCGTTCTAACAGCGGAAACTTCGTCCACAAGATCAGTGAGGTTTATTACAGATCGGCGTGCTTATCGAGGAAATCGTAGCTTTCGTTTTGCGAAACTTCTTTCCAACGGGGAAGGCTTAGCTCCCCTGTCTGTGCACCGATTCAATTGGAAATTATTTCGAAAGTTACCTAAGGTCCGTTCGAAGAGCTCGTTGGTACGTGTTTGCTCGGGAACGACACTAATTAAAACGCGCTCATTCTCACGCATTCGCGGACTTTGTTCGAAGGATTGTCGCTTTGACATGAACGAATAATTAATACGCCCGGAGACACGGTTCCAATTGACTTTTTCAACTTGTCGCGATCTAGAGGAACAATTTTCTTTTTTCTTTTTATATTTTTGGTATCGTGCACTGTAAATTTCAGAACAAGGTCTTACGCATTGCCTTATTTTAGATTTTCTTCTCAATTTTCGTGAACAAGTTGTATCACTTATTGCGATTGTAACATTATTTCAAATATAAAGCGCTACAACATTGCACGTTCAATTTAACGAAATTTAAAATCGAAAGATTTCATAGCATCGCAACTTGTTTTTTCATACAAATCGAAATCACGGCTTACCAGTATAATTCGATGTTATAAGACAATGGGTTAAATAATAAAAGTTTTCAAGCTTTCTTTTACATGTTTTAAAATGGGAAATATATAGTTCCCATTCACCCATAAAAATTGTCGAAGGAATCTCAAGATATCTGTGCTTGAATTTATCGCGAGAGGTATACATTCACAGAGAAATAGGATAAATAAGAAACATTTTGATTTTAGTTCGAAATACATTCAACATGTATTTTTGAAAAGATACGAATGAACTTATTACTCAAACAAATAAACAGGAATTTCTTTTCATCTGTTGAATATTACGTTTGACATTTTAAATATTGCACGATTACTTTAAACATTTCAAACACCATTAAATCGCTTTCTGTGAATTTTTGGAATTCTCTAAACACGTGTGAACATTTTTAATCTAATCGTGGAACATCGAACAAACTAGAGAAAATGCAATCTTCATAAAATTGAGAATTACCTAAAAAAATTCTTCTAACGTCTTTTCAAGTGCTACGCTTAATTGTCCTTAAAGGGATGAGAAATTGAAGTTAGTTAAAGCTGTTACAATCGCTGGATTATGGTAAATTATTCGTCGAAGGCTGCACCTTCTTACCATTTATTCGAAAATGAACGAATAGAAGCGTTCAACCGTAACTGTCTGTTCTCTTTAACAGATATTAGTTTCCCCGCTGGAAATCCGCCGACGACACAGCGCTTACACGAGTTTTCATTCTGCCGAATTGAGCCGCGATTCCGCTCACTTAACGAGACGATTTCCAAGCGAGAATTCTGTATCAATATTAGTACAAAAGTGTTAGTTCTTCAAACGTTTGCAGTACATCCCGCACTTTAGTTCCGCAGTTTTAATACGCACGGATAATA